AATAATGATGGGTCTTCCTAGCGATAAAACTTTACCAAACTCGCTCATATCACAAGTTTTTGATTGTTTAATCTTATTACTGGAGGCAATGTCTTTTTACTTTTGTTGAAACATAATGAAATATTGGGCGCTGGTCTTAAGACCTCTTTATTTTAAATCAAATCGAAGTTCAATTGATTCGAGTAGGATCTATTAATCATAAATTTGATAAGCAAATTTTCATCTTTTTTTACAATATAGGTAATTCCATTATAACAAAGGAAGATAAACCATTAATATTTCATGACGAAAGAAACATTTGTTATACTCATATGTAACCATATAATAATCAGAAACATAATACGGTGGTGTTTGAGAGGGTATTAAGCTCAAGGTAGGAAGAACTGAACGTTTTGTATAATTTTTATTTCAATCATGCATGTAAGAGGAGTAATTTTCCACAGTAATTGTGTTGATTCCTCCATGATGGTGATGTTTTAATGGCTGTGGGCGGAAATATCACTTGATCTATCGGCATCAGCGCAATCAATGGGATGCATTCTCTTTCCTGTATAGGGGCCTACAAGTTTGGATTTCTGTCAAACAAATCTTCACCATGAATTATAATAAAATAAAGCAATGTAGAAAACTGCCACCGGTATTCGGTCGTCTTATTATTGTTTTTTTAAAGCAGAGGTATGAAATTAGATTTATGACACCATTTTTCATACAGAATGTTGTCTGTGAAACGGTGCTGTACAATTGAAAAACATTCTATTTGCAGTATTACACCTTGGATTTCTATAAATTAATTTTTGTGATAATGAAAAAGGAATAAACGTAAATAAATGAATAACCCGCAAGTCTGATTAAAAGAGGAAAAAATTTTTATATGTGTGTGCGTGTGCATTTGCGTGCGTCTCCCTTGGATTTCCAATGATAATCGCCTAAATAGTCGGGATAGGTAAGATTTGAACCGACTATTTTTCAGTAAATCGTAACCTAGCATTTTCCGTACAATTACTTTCAAAGATATATAATTAAGCTGAAAAAAAATGATAAAAAATGAATAATGATAAAGAACAGAAAAAAGTGTCAAATTAATTCATTGACTCGACAGTTTTCGTTTTTTCTTACATAAAATGTTCCATATTTCTCCCCTGTCCATGCCTATATTATTATCAAACCCCGGAAAGTCAAATTGTTAACATGTTATACTTAAATAATTAAATTTTTAGATAAACCTTTGTTTTCATAAATCAGCGTTTTTTATCAGTTTAATAGCAATCTTATAATAACATCACGGGACCGTCGAGTCCAAGCACGAAACACAATCTGTTTAATTCTTCTCACTGTCTCACCTAATGCAATATATATTAGCCTCGGCACTCCATTTTCTGCGGGACTTGTGTTAGTTGCTATTTGCAAGCAAGATGTATTTATCTACGTGAAATTTTTGATAAGAGGGAAAGGTAAGGAAAAAAAGTGTTTCGGCTCGTTGTATATTTTGAAGGTAAGGTTTATTTATTTGGACAACGTATTTGATATCACTGGAACAGCCCCGGACTTCTTGATATTTCTTTTCGAACGACTTTTGTCCGCCACTTCTGTCAAAAAGGCTCATGAAAATCTAGCACGAAAATTCATGCGTTAGCACTCCTATTGACGATTCTGATATGTAGAGTAGACCGGGGCTAAACGCCCAGTCGGGGTCAAACGCCCACCCGCTTTTTTTCAGGTATTACGTATAAATACGCGTCTCGTGATGTTTTGTCCACCTCCGATTTCGAGCAGACTTATCCTCCATGACGGAGATGACCACAAACTAAAAAAATAAGCATTTTATGATAATTTGTTCATTTTTGCCTTGTTTACTGTTATTTAGCCTTTTCCTTAACATCAGTGATACCACCTACCAAATGCACGAATTCAAAAAACTTTGTTGGTGACAGGTAGGATGGTATCAGACCTCCATACAAGTTTCGATGAAGTCAGATTGTATAAAACATTTCCCGCCGAATTTTGAAAAAATATACAAAATCTCACTTTGGGGCAAAACGCCCATGCTGATATGGGGCAAAACACCTATAGTGGGTGTTTTGCCCCGATCACTGGGCGTTTTGCCCCCTTCGTTTTTAAATAAAAAATAATTCTAAAAAGATGCGGAAGTGTTCTTTCATGAATGTTTTTTTATTGTATATCATCAGTTATAACACTTATATGGGGAAAAGCCAAAGCAAGTGGCTGTACTAGGAACTTAATTTTGGAAGTATCACAGTGCCCTGTCGTAAAGAGTAGAATTACAGCTCATTCTGAATAAATTTGATGGGTATTTTTATTATTTCAGTACCCCAAAATATTATATGTTGCTTTTAAAGGCTTACTAAGTTGTCTCGTAGAAATATAATTTGATTTTATTTTGCTTTGTACAAAGGAGGGGCAAAACGCCTATAGTTTGGGGCAAGACGCCCACGGTGGGCGTTTAGCCCCGTGGTGTGAGGCGTAATGCCCCAGCCATGGGGCAAAAAGGCCGATTTTATAATTTACCTATTTTTTACCTATAAGGTTTTTCTTTTGTTTGTTTCCAAAAGTGTTAGTATCAGTTTGTAGTCTAGACAGCCCTTCATAGTTAACACCCACTTTGAACTGTCTATACCTTCAGCAAGGAAAATTGTGGTGTTTCTTGCTTAAGGGGGGCGTTTAGCCCCGGTCTACCCTACTATCTCTGCTAACGTATGAAAGCAAAGTCCTCAAAAAGTTGGAAATGAAAACCTGTTGCCGAACCAGCCGCGGTGCGGCAGCTCTCAAATTTTTATTTTTTACATCTCATCTCCTCAACACGCACATTTCTGTGAAGCCAACCAGCTTTCCCATCAACAGAGTATCACTTTTCTTAAATTCATCTGTCTATCTACCAGTTTGACCGTCGTAAAATCATGCACCCGTTACAAACAGACGAAAACCAGGTCAAATCTACTCAGATCATGACGCGAGGGCCAGTAATCTACTGCGCATGAGGTTCGGCTGGTTCGGCAACCGGTTTTCATTTCCAACTTTTTGAGGCCTTTGCTTTCATGCATTAGCACAGACAGTACATATCAGAATCGTCAATAGGAGTGCTAACGCATGAATTTTCGTGCTAATGAAAGTCTTGCTCTGAAGTATTTTCTGTTTTTAGTAAAACATTTATTGTGGTAGAGTAAGCCTTTCCCGACCACAGGCCCAAACCTCTATCAATAGGCGGTTAAAATGACTATGTTAATTGAGACTATAAAGATAGACTGAAGCACATTAAGCAACTTAATTATTTTACCACCGTGCACGCCACCAATAATATTTCACAAAATACCAATGAAAATAATGAATAATTACAATTGCATTAGAATAATGTTACCTAATAATTATTATATTTTCAATATTTCAGGTTAATTAACTCAAACTAGGCAGTCCAACTCGGCAGCTTGGATTACAGGAGGGTGCTGTCCTTCTCTGTACTACATATATCTGTGGTGAAGCCATTTGATCTCCCTCAACATGTCAGGGTCACTGGTGGCCTTTGAAAGTGAGCTGAACGCCATTGTGAAAGAGGTAATTATTTTGTGGTTCTGCCTGTTATCAAAAACTTTTAGCCTACTGACACCTTGATCAACTGAAGCTAAGAGTCTACTGCCCCAAAGCAGGCACTGATCAGCAACTGAATAGATTTATATTATAATATTTAACATGTTTATCTCCTGTTTTACTGGCATTAGGCATTGTGTTAAGAGTGATTCCTATTTCAAAAGAAGAATTGAAGTAGTGGAAATAACTTTACACAGACATCGTAGCAGGTTTTGTGTTTAAAAATTTCTGGGAATATTAAAGGTTATTTTAGTTTTGCTAAATTAGTAAAAGAAAACATTTCCTAAAAAAAGTTTTCAAATTTATTACTGTTGTGACACAAACTATTAATTTGGCTTAGTTTTTACATATTATCAACTAAAGATACAATAACATAATGCTAGATTGAGAAAAAGACTGCAATAAATCCTACTTCAGTTTTGTTTCATTATGTGCGTTGTGTTTGTTTCAGTACCTAGAGTTTGCTGGTTACGAGCGTGCAGTCAGTTCATTTGAAACGGAATGTTCAGAGAAAGGGAAGACAATTTCACCCTCCAAGAAAGGTGCCAAACCCCCCAGGACCAACTCCAGGCTCCTAGCAGTACAGGTAAAGAATGGATTCTTCCTCAACTCTCTCTCCTCCAGAAAGGGATTTTCCCAGGATTGGGGGTACACGCCATCCATAATTATTACATGTAATTTCCTACAAAATTTTAGAGTCCAAGTATGCTTAAATTAGTCATATTTCCAAAAAAACATCTATAAGCCGTAGAGCCATCTTTGAAACCTTAGGCTGTTCAGGGATGCTGGCGGCCGTCCAAATGACGGTTGGATGGTTTGCTGGGAAAACCGTTGTCTCTAGATATACAAGGTAAGTACTAGATAGATCTATAAAAACGAGGAGAAAAGGGGAAGATAGCTAAAATAAAAAAAAATATGGGGGTGGAAGAAAAGGAACAGACCTTGAATTGTAACATTAAATTTTTGCAGAGTAAAAAATTAAATACAGGAGTAATAAAAAAGTAAAGGTGAGGGAAGAAGGCTCCTTTGTTTGTATTCAAACTTGTTCTTTTAAAAATTGTTTAATGTATTTTCTTCTTGTGGAGCATGTATCTAAAGTGCTATTCATCAAGGCGTAGCCAGTCTAGCAGAAGGTTTTAAAGAAATATTTCATTTTGTATTATCTTCTTTTTTCTCTCTTTCTACAGAACGAGATGGTGCAGCTGTTCCAGTATGGAAAACGAGTAGAGTTTTTCAAAGTTTGGGAGGAGAACCTTGGTGACTCTGTGAAAAATGAGGACAGCGTGGCCATGAAGTTAGAGTTCTACCTGTATATCTATTTTGCCATCTATCCCATGATCCGTGGGATGGGAGATGAGGTGAGAGCTGGTAAAGTTAGAGTTTTACCTGTACATCTATTTTGCCATCTATCCCATGATCCGTGGGATGGGAGATGAGGTGAGAGCTGGTAAAGTTAGAGTTCTACCTGTACATCTATTTTGCCATCTATCCCATGATCCGTGGGATGGGAGATGAGGTGAGAGCTGGTAAAGTTAGAGTTCTACCTGTACATCTATTTTGCCATCTATCCCATGATCCGTGGGATGGGAGATGAGGTGAGAGCTGGTAAAGTTAGAGTTCTACCTGTACATCTATTTTGCCATCTATCCCATGATCCGTGGGATGGGAGATGAGGTGAGAGCTGGTAAAGTTAGAGTTCTACCTGTACATCTATTTTGCCATCTATCCCATGATCCGTGGGATGGGAGATGAGGTGAGAGCTGGTAAAGTTAGAGTTCTACCTGTACATCTATTTTGCCATCTATCCCATGATCCGTGGGATGGGAGATGAGGTGAGAGCTGGTAAAGTTAGAGTTCTACCTGTACATCTATTTTGCCATCTATCCCATGATCCGTGGGATGGGAGATGAGGTGAGAGCTGGTAAAGTTAGAGTTCTACCTGTACATCTATTTTGCCATCTATCCCATGATCCGTGGGATGGGAGATGAGGTGAGAGCTGGTAAAGTTAGAGTTCTACCTGTACATCTATTTTGCCATCTATCCCATGATCCGTGGGATGGGAGATGAGGTGAGAGCTGGTAAAGTTAGAGTTCTACCTGTACATCTATTTTGCCATCTATCCCATGATCCGTGGGATGGGAGATGAGGTGAGAGCTGGTAAAGTTAGAGTTCTACCTGTACATCTATTTTGCCATCTATCCCATGATTCGTGGGATGGGAGATGAGGTGAGAACTGGTAAAGAAGGCAGGCACACACTGTGATAGGATGTGACTTGGAGTGCGGGTTATGTTGATTTTAAAAAAAGGTAGGGGATACACCGGAATAGGATCAGATGTGGTGGAGACATGACTTATAAAAAGAAAATCGGGATGGCAGCCAGGAAAACCATAAAGCCTATGCTTTTTGCTATTGGACTTCACCCATGTGAAGTGAGGAATGGGATGAAGTTTTTTTTTTACAAACATAGTGTCTATTCAGATTCACATATTGTACCAACTGGGTCAATCCAACTTTGCCAGGAATTTTCGCTAAAGTGCAATTAGCAGAATCGGCTATACTGCTTGACATGCCTCCTCGAACAACTAGTGAGTAATTGACTATTGATTAAGCATTGCTCTACAAACTTCTGGTTTTTGGTTTGGGCTCACTCTGGAATAAATACTTGTAGCCATTATAGGAACTGTAGAGGTTTTAAAACAATTAAATTTTAAAAATAAAGTTTGTCAAGTTTTCTTGTAAAATTGAGCAAATTTTATACTAGTACTTGGGTCAATCCAACTCTGCAGGGAGTTCTCACAGAGTGAATCTGAGTAAATTAAATCCCTAAATGAGATCCTAAGCAAAGTTAGCCTACTGACAGTATATTTACCATTTACCCTTAAGACTCTATTTCAGAGTAAGCCCAATATTTTACTTTTTTTTATTTTTATTATATTTAACCAGCACAAATAGACTCCATGTGGCACTTTACTAACATAATGCCTGTTCTTATTCTTTGTAGGAATTTTCTGAAGAAGAGGTAAATTTTCTGATTTTAGATGCCTCAAGATTCCTGTGTGTCTTTGTTTAGAATCTAGACAGATTGTCTAACTGTTAGTCTAAATCATTATGTAGACAGAGAAGTAGTAGTAGAATTAAAGTGTGTAGTTTTTAATGCTATTGGAATTGATATTAGGATAGTTGTCATGTATTTCTGCCTTTGATGCTGTCATGGCTTTGTTGCTTTCTACTTTGTTTATAGTGTTATTGAATTTCTTGCTTTATAAATAAGAGGAAAGATTCAAAACAATCAAAACATCTCTTTGGGGGAGAGGGGAGGTTTTTAATTGACGAAAGACTAATTTATTGTTGTATACCAGTACAGTTATAGTATTACTATTAGTAATTAAATGTATGTTTTGAAGTCAGTTTTCTTTCTGGTTCTGTGTTCGCTGCACCAGGAGGAGCATACCTGCATGGCCCTCAGTACTGACAGATTCAAGTCTGCTTGGGTAAAGGCTGCTTACAAGTTTTATCAGACAATTATTCATTTATTTATACCTGATTTTATGATGATGTTGTGGATGTTTTAAAGGATTTACATTTTATTTTCTTTCGCCTTTTTCTTGTTTTATTTTAGTATTTTTTTTTTCTATTTTTAATATTAAAGAACCCAACAGTGTTACTAAGTTTTTACACAGATTTCCTATGGACTTGTTCATTTTTTCTCAGCAAAATAAAATAATCCAGTTTTTATCATTATCCATCTTAATCTTCATTTTTTTCACTGACATTCATATTCTTAAGTTTTCCCTTTGCCTTTTTTTATTTGATTTGATATCAAAGCTTGTAGGTAGCCTTTATCCAACTTTGCTTTTGTTCTTTTCAAAGGTCAGACACGCAAACACACACAAAATGTATTAGATTGAAAATGAATGTACGTAGGTTTTTTTATTTAAATATACAATATGGTTCAAGTATTTGCCTATGATTTATTCAACGTCTTGCTTTGTGATACAAAATTAATTTGTGTCTTTACTGTTGATGAGCTCTTTGTTGGGTCACCAAATACAAAATATTTAACTAATTTATTTCAGGTGGTCACAGTATGTGGTGTCAAGCTTTTCTTTGTGAACTCTGTTCTATAAATAATAATAATAATAAAAAAATGTTTATATGAATATAAAAAAGAAAAAAATAAAAATAGGTGTCAGTTTTTACAAGACAAGCCCATCTGTTGACTTCTCAAACAGCCTTACACCTGACATCTTTATTATCCAGGCTAAGGTCCAAGCAGAGGAAGGAATGGCCGCTTTCAAGCATTATCTGGAGACCAGAGGTGCTTCACTCAGCCAAACCACTGAGTTTCTTCCCTTCTACGCTCTGCCCTTCGTCCCAAACCCCAGGGCTCACCCTTCTTATAAGGAGTTGTTTGCAGTAAGTTGTTAGTTTATCCAGATAACATTAATATGAGAAAAGTAAAAAAAAAGCCCAATTTTTTTCATTTTTTTTATCACAAGACAAGATGTAGAGTGTATATTCCTGTGAAAGATTTTTTTTTGTTTGATGGATAATAATAAGATATTACTCAGAAAATGCAATTTTTTCTTACTTATAAGGTTCCTTACATCTATTTTTTTTTGTTACTCTAAGATAGGTGTGTAATTTGTCAGATTATTATTGATATTGTAAATTTATTTTTATTTTTGTTGTTGTTGTTATTGTTGTTGTTGTCTTCAGGAGGACTGGGCCAGTGATTTACAGCAGAGACTGGAGAAGTTCCTCACCTTAGCACTGCAGTCTTCCACACAACCCAGGCTCTTTGACCTCTATGTATCCTTATCTGATAGCAATCAACTGAGTTACAATGGTTTATATAATATAATCTACTGAACATCAATTTTATCATTTTGTGAAGGATGTTGTTTTATATGGACATATGCACACACAAACATTTTCATTCCATGGTATATAGATGCACATTATTCATTATTAAACAGTTAGGATATATATGCACTTGCAAATGTATGCACACAGCAAGACATACAGACACTCTCTCTCTCTCTCTCTCACTCTCTCTCTCTCTCTCTCTCTCTCTCTCTCTCTCTCTCTCTCTCTCTCTCTGAGTTCTGATCAGTGTTATTTGAGCAATTTAAAACAAAAGACATTTTCCTGAGCTTCACCTCACAGCAAGGAGGCGGGGGTCCTAGTAAAGGTGAGTAGACAGGGCAGTAGAATTAAATTATTCAACTGGAGATCTGAGTATAGCACAACTTTTGTCAGAGATTAAGATTCTGTTTGAACCTCATTCTCGAGAACTAAATTCAATTCTTTAAGGTTACATAAATATTATGGAGCAATTGCACATTCCCTACATGGCATTGAGGTTGCCGCTACCAGTTTCTTATATGATACAAATGAAGTCCAAAGTTTAAATATCAAATATTTAGTCAGCAAAAAAAAAAAAAAAAACTGCACCTACTTCAAAATTTACCAGTTTCTTATATGATACAAATGAAGTCCAAAGTTTAAATATCAAATATTTAGTCAGCAAAAAAAAAAAAAAAGACTGCACCTACTTCAAAATTTTGGAAGTAAATTTGACTTAAGCTATTTATTCACCCCCACAGTAAGAAAGAGACAACCAGATGAAGCGGTCGTGTTAAAAAAGTTAATTATTCTTTATAATCATTATTATTAACTTTTATTTGCCTGCTGTAATTCCAGAAGTCCAAGCAGAGCTTCAGCACCTTCAGCAGCAGGTGGTTGATGCAGAGAGACGTACTATGACATATATCAGAAGATTTAACAAGGTCCAGTCAGACTACCATAGTTTGATAGGGATTACAGCAGACTTGGTGGACTCACTGGAGAAAACAGTACAGGGACAGATGGTACAGGGTTCTTTTTATGAATAAATAAATAAATAAAGGAAAGAAAAAAGGAAAAGAGAAATATGCTATTTTGGCACTTCTTTGGGTTTTTTTTTTTACGTTCATTGTTAGTATAAATATAATTATATTTTTTGTCAGTTGTCTGAGTTGTAGCTATATATTGTTAAATTTTAAATGCACAAGTATTTCACTGTATGATTATATATGAAAAACAGGGTGGGAGGTTGTGTGCATTTTCAAAATATTTTTTTTTCGTCAAATCATATTGTTCTGTTCCAGATCAGTGCAGAGTACATACAGGGCATTTGTAGCAGGTTGTTCAGCAACCACATGCGACAGTCTGTAGACTTTGCACGTCCCGGGACGGCAGGCAACGTGCTCCGGCAGTCCATAGCTGTCCCACAGATGTGAGTGTGGAGAGAGAGAGAGAGAAATAGAGAGAGAGAGATATGGAGAGAGATATGGAGAGAGAGAGTTTGTATATGCATTTGTATATGAGAGAGAGACACAGGGAGAAATGGAAACGGAGAGAGAAAGAGAGAGAAATGGTGAGAGAGAGAGGAAGAGAGAAAGTTTGTATATGCGTGTGTGTGTGAGAGAGAAAGAGAGAGTGAGAGAGAGAATGATGGAAACAGAGTGAGAGATGGAAACAGAGAGAGTGTTAGAGAGAGAGAGAGAGAGAGAGAGAGAGAGAGAGAGATGGAAACAGAGAGAGAAGGAGAGAGTTTGTATATGTGAGGGAGGGAAAGAAAGGGGGAGGATGAGAGAATGAGTGTGTGAATGTGAGAGAGAGAGAAAAAGAATGGAAAGAGAGCAAAATAGAGAGAGTGAAAATTGGAGATTACTAACATGTGCAGAGTTGAACTTGTCAAAAAAAAAACAGGGCTTGAGCCTTTACATATTTATCTTAATCTGAACATGCTGAAAAACTATAAAGTTTAACATAGTTCTCGTACAAAATGCCTGTGTAAAAACATAATCACTGATAATGTTTACTAAAACAAATCAAAAGATTTAAGAATAAATAGATCTATAAGTAAATAAAGATCTAAGTTTGACAAACTGTTATCTTTCTAGATCCCCAGAAAAGGACCAGGGTCTCCTGTCTTCTCTGGACTATGACAAGATAAAGAAAGACCTGGTGAATGGACCAGAGAGAAGACAGGCATTGCTGTTACAGGCCTTAAGATGGGTGAGAGAAAGATCCGTATAAGTTGTTGATCCAAGTTTTAAAAAAATTAAAGATCTTATACTAACTCCTAGGCTTTTTAATCTGTGCAAAATTTTGATATGATCACGGCCCGAAATATTTGTCATGAGTGATTTATACTGTAATATGGCATCACACATTTGGAATTCATGTTTTATGTCATTGAGTTGTTTAAAGTTTCAAAAGTTGAGTGTTGATTATTAAAATTTTCCAGCGTTTGACCCGCTCGGCGCCAGGAGAACAGAGGGACACAGTGTTACAGGGATATATTAAAAATGATATTCTTTGTTGCCATAACAATGCACAACACAAGGTGAGTCTGTCATTTAGAAATCTGATTATTGGGCTGAGTTACTGAAATCACTGATGTTTTGAAACTCAGACACACCATACCTGAGGCAGTTCACAGTCTATGAGGAAATATTCTTAGATAACAGTGCTCTTAGACCCCATTCCCACAGATTTTAGATCGATCTATCCCTGTGGGGAGTCTCACTAGATTACTGTCAGCTTAGCCAGCTTATGCGTCTGTTCTGCCTACTAAAAGCTGTAAGGGGGTGATTAACTTTCTTGCCACTCGGCTGACTGCAATTTAGCGTGAACCCCAGGGAGTTAGGTTGATCTGGATGGATCGATCCAAATCTCTGGGAATGCACTCTTAGATTGAAGATCAAACTGTCATGAGCTTATATCAGAATATCGTGTTGCAAATCATGATTATTGTAACAATTTTCTTAAAATAATAATGATAATTGTAGTAGTAGTTGTAGCAGCAGCATTATTTGTAGTAGTAGAAGTAGTTTTTCCAGTAGTAGCAGTAGCAGGAGTACTGGTAGTTGTAATAATAATGATAATAATACTAATAATGTATTTTGTGTCCACAGGAGGGTGTGATGAGTCTGTTACACTCCCCCAGTGAGGTGGTCAGACAGTATACAGCCAGGCTGTTCAACGCCTTGGCGTCACTCTGTCAAGGTAAGTTTCTCTCTTATCTGATATGTCATTTTATATGGTGAAGGAATAAGTGGATAGGATTGATTTTAAAGCCTGATATTCATGATATCGAAGATCTCTCTGGCTGTTATGGAACTGTTCAGTCCTTATTGGATCCCATCTCTCTCTCTCTCCCCCCCCTTCTCTCTCTATCTCTCTCTCTCTGTCTCCCTTCTCTCTCTCTCTCTCTCTCTCTCTCTCTCAGGAGTATACACAGCAATCAGTATGTCCTGTACATCACCCTGGCAGGATATATACCCCCTCTCACTTCACAGCCCCTCCCTCTGGTCCCCCCTTCCTGACCCCTGTCTACTTAAACTGTTTGATCCAACCTGATAATTTATATTTCATTGTGTGTTTCAATCTTTTGATATTAAAGGAATCATAATAACTCTTCGTTAGAGATCTATATTTCACAGTAAAAACATCGTGAACAACTCATAGAAATATAATACATATTCTGTTGTACCACAAAAACAGCAGTTATAGCTACTATTCTGATATCTGAGTTTGTCTTTAGACCTCATGACCTCCATTGATGGCTATACTCTGTGATAATATCTTAAGAGATTATAACAAAAAACAAACTTTTTAGAAAAAAAAGGGGCTAACTTTGAATGTAAAAATGGATTCATTAACCATTGGTAGGTATGGGGAAATTGTTGCTTACTCCAGTAAAATTCATTTTTTGGCCGAACGAAGAGTTATTATCCCTTTAACTGAATGTTTTTTTTTGTTTTTTTTTTTTTGTTTTTTGTTTTTTTTTTTTTTTTTTTAATTTTTTTTTTTGCTTTTTCTGTTTTTAGTTTTTCTTTCTAAGGGTAAGGAATTGCCTTTTTGTCTTCAGTGGGGATTGTGATTTTTACGGAATTGAAAATTTATGTAACTTTTCTTACAGGGCGAACATACTTATCCACCAGCTCAAGTCTTCTTGGTCACATGATCGAGACGCTGAGATCAGAGGAGAAAGATTCTATCACACGAGAGAATGTCCTAGGAGCCTTACAGAAGCTTAGCCTAAGGTAAGGATAAAGGCCATCCTAGGAACCCTACAAATACTCAGTCTAAGGTAAGGATAAAGGCCATCCTAGGAACCCTACGAAAACTCAGTCTAAGGTAAGGATAAAGGCCATCCTAGGAACCCTACGAAAACTCAGCTTCAGGTAAGAATGGGCTGACTTTAGAACGTCCTCATGGCCCAGCAGAAACTGTACCTAAGGTGAGGATGTGTGCACCTTAGTTTATTCTCAGAGCTTTACAGAAACTTTGATCCTGTTCCCATACCTAGATTGATCAAGCAGGATCCACCCATCTCCAAGGGGTTGCTCACTAATTTGCATTCAGCTTAAGTGGCTCTGATGTCTATCATGCCCACTGTAGCTGTTAGGAGGTAATTAACTATCGTTTAGCAGCTTCAGTAGGCGTGCCAGTCATCTAAGCCACTTAAGCTGAGTACAGTTTAGCGAAAAATCCCTTGGAGATGGGCCCATCCTGCTAGATCAATCTAGTTACAGGAACGGGGTCTTAGTCAGATAAGGATGATGTTGATCTTCAAATGTTCTGCAAGCTTTACAGAAACTTTGTGAGGTAAAGGTTGACCTGAGAGTTTTTGAGAAACTAGGGCTTTCACTGAAACAGATGTTTTAGTACCAAGAATTCAGCTGTATCTCTTTCAGCAAGGGTAAGTTGCTTCAGTTATTTGGGGCAGATGTATACTGATATTCAGCAAAGGTGTGTACAGTTGATGGTATTATGTTGTGATTTGATTTTACATTGATGGCTGATCCCAACCTTTTCTTTTTACTTTATTTATTTATTTATTATTTATTTTTTATGAAGCGATCGTTTTGTCATTAGTTTTATACTTTTTTGGACGGAGGGGGGTATCACCCTTACAAACTATCCATCTAGATAAAGATAAAAAGTTATTACTTGTTTTTTCCAGCAGTTTGTCGTAAGTATTTACTAAAGGTACAATGATCCCTGTGCTAAGTTCTAGATTCTTTGTGTCTTTGTGTTGAAATGAGTAAATTGACATTGACATTACAAAGAGCGAGGAAACATTTTGTTTACTGTATACATTGTATTGGTCCACAATGGAATGTTAGTAAGTAACCAATAAAGAAACAAACCAAATAATACTCTTTCAAGGAGCATTTTTTGATGATTGCCAAAATTTGTATTATCTTTAATTCTGTCAAGGATATTTTTGGATATAGACAAGACTATAGTATAAAGATAACATCATAGTTGTGTTGTGTTCAGTATATTATTTAGCTTTATCAATGTGCATGTACATTTTATGTGGTTGAAGCTCAAGGGTAAGATATGTAACTATTGTGCCAAACATACCAAACAATACCACATCAGTCACATACTGCCCTTTTGGCGTTCTTATAAATCTGTGTTGTAAATTGTACGTCTGCATGCAGTTTAATGGTAAAGTATTTTTTATTGAAATAAAATTGGTCAGATGTGATTTAAAACTAGGCATAGATATTTATAATATGGCCTCCAAGTACATGTATTATAGTATTATATAAACAATAACATGTACATTAATTTGGTGATTTCTTACTGTTATTTTACATATTGTAATTATCTTGCACTTTCTATCAATTAACTTAAATATTGATGTTAGTGGTTTGGGGACACATTTTTAAAATGCTTGCATGGCACTTAGTTGTTCCTCATAACACTCAGGTACATGCTATATATATAGGTCATGTAATAAATTATTCATTTAAACTGGCATTTAGCAGGCCAACCTCTGACAATAAATAATTTAAAAAACTGATGAAGTAAACTACAGTATCAATTTGATAAAAAATTACAAATCATAACCATGGGTTTTAGAATGTCTAATATGGGTAAGATGTTTGAGAGTTTATAGATGTTTAATTTACTCTACATAATTAAAACTGTGTAAACATTTAGTCTGCCACAGACCAAGATAAATCTGCAGTGGGCCTCTAAAACTTTGAAGTATTAAGTATTGACTTAAAACATTTTCTAAAACAAGGCAGTCGCCCACATTTTAATAGGCGTGTGTGTGTGTGTTATAAAAAGAGAGAGAGAGAGAGAGAGAGAGAGAGAGACCTTAGACTGAGTTTTCAAGTTGTCTGCTTAAAATGAGCAGAGTTGAGGTTGAGAGCCAGGTACAGAAATGTTGTGTGTTAACCGACTGTGTGTTGTGTTGTGTTGTGTTGTGTTGTGTTGTGTTGTGTTGTGTTGTGTGTTAACTGACTGTGTGTTGTGTTGTGTTTCAGACGTCAGCTACAGTCTGTGATGATAGACGAGGGGTTACTGCAGTGGCTGGTTCAAGTACTAGAGGACAATGATTCCTTGTCTGACTACACACTGGAGTACTCCATAGNCAAAAAAAAAAAAACAGGGCTTGAGCCTTTACATATTTATCTTAAACTGAACATGCTGAAAAACTATAAACATAGTTCTCGTACAAAATGCCTGTGTAAAAACATAATCACTGATAATGTTTACTAAAACAAATCAAAAGATTTAAGAATAAATAGATCTATAAGTAAATAAAGATCTAAGTTTGACAAACTGTTATCTTTCTAGATCCCCAGAAAAGGACCAGGGTCTCCTGTCTTCTCTGGACTATGACAAGATAAAGAAAGACCTGGTGAATGGACCAGAGAGAAGACGGGCACTGTTGTTACAGGCCTTAAGATGGGTGAGAGAAAGATCCGTATAAGTTGTTGATCCAAGTTTAAAAAAAATTAAAGATCTTATACTAACTCCTAGGCTTTTTAATCTGTGCAAAATTTTGATATGATCACGGCCCGAAATATTTGTCATGAGTGATTTATACTGTAATATGGCATCACACATTTGGAATTCATGTTTTATGTCAAACATGAGTTGTTTAAAGTTTCAAAAGTTGAGTGTCGATTATTAAAATTTTCCAGCGTTTGACCCGCTCGGCGCCAGGAGAACAGAGGGACACAGTGTTACAGGGATATATTAAAAATGATATTCTTTGTTGCCATAACAATGCACAACACAAGGTGAGTCTGTCATTTAGAAATCTGATTATTGGGCTGAGTTACTGAAATCACTGATGTTTTGAAACTCAGACACACCATACCTGAGGCAGTTCACAGTCTATGAGGAAATATTCTTAGATAACAGTGCTCTTAGACCCCATTTCCACAGATTTTAGATCCATCTATCCCTGTGGGGAGTCTCACTAGATTACTGTCAGCTTAGCCGGCTTAAGTGTCTGTTCCGCCTACTAAAAGCTGTAAGGGGTAATTAACTTTCTTGCCACTCGGCTGACTGCAATTTAGCGTGAACCCCAGGGAGTTAGGTCGATCTGGATGGATCGATCCAAGTCTCTGGGAATGCACTCTTAGATTGAGGATCAAACTGTCATGAGCTTATATCAGAATATCGTGTTGCAAATCATGATTATTGTAACAATTTTCTTAAAATAATAATGATAATTGTAGTAGTAGTTGTAGCAGCAGCATTATTTGTAGTAGTCGAAGTAGTTTTTTCCAGTAGTAGTAGTAGCAGTAGTTTTTTTGGAGCAGTAAGAGTAGCAGTAACAGGAGTACTGGTAGTTGTAATAATAATGATAATAATAATAATAATAATAATAATGATAATACTATATTTTCTGTCCCCAGGAGGGTGTGATGAGTCTGTTACACTCCCCCAGTGAGGTGGTCAGACAGTATACAGCCAGGCTGTTCAATGCCCTGGCATCACTCTGTCAAGGTTAGTCTCTCTCTCTCTTATCTGATATGTCATTTTATAAGGTGAAGGAATAAGTGGTTAGAATTGATTTTAAAGCCTGATATTCATTATATCCAAGATCTGCTGATCTAACTGGTTATGTCTGGCCATTATGGAACTGTTCAGTCCTTATTTGATCCCATCTCTCTCTCTCTCTCTCCCCCCCCCCTCTCTCTCTCTCTC